AGAAATGTCATAACAGTGTTGTTTTTAACAAAATCAGCAGATTTGAAAGCACACTGGGGTGTTTTTGATCTAGAGGACTTTAAGAAAAAGAAATAAACTAGATTACTGGTATCTTAAACAAATATAAGACACAGAGGGAGTTTTACATTTTATTTAACATATCAAGAGCAGCCCACATCATCATGGAGAAAAAGAAAGGGATTAAAATCCTTAGGAAACTTAATGGAAAACAGCTAAAAGAATAGGCTGAGTCAAATTCTGACCAAGAGGGAGAATCACACTGTGAAATAATGAACTGGTGAATCCAGGATAGAGAAAGTATCGAAGCACAGGGAAAAGGCAAGTTGGAGTACGAATCTCAAGACTGTCAATGTTGTGGAGGATTGTATTGCTGCTGTGAGGAAGAAATATGTAGAAAGAAAGGTTAAAGGGCAGAATTAAAATCCTCGAGTAACTGATTATAACTGAAAACTCTTAAGGAAAAAATAGTAAGATGGAAACTAAATTATAAGTGAAATGCAAAAGGAAAGATGCATTTATACATACAGCCAAAAGAAGAGAGGAGGAAAAGTAAGGCAAGCGAGTATGTGTGTAATATGGGAAACAGAGATATGACATTTTGCTTTCAGGACTTCTTCCCACCTTGTAACCAATTTCTGACAAATTCAGTTTCCTGAAGTAGCCATTAACAACCCTCCCAGATGGAGATCATTATTCAGCAGAATAATGATCCATTAGGAAGGGATAACATCCTCTTCCATTAGCAAGTTACAGTGCACTTCCATATTCAAGGAGCAAGAGGAAAGAGTAAGAAGTATGAGAACAATGACAATCCAGGGAGATGGGAGCTAAGTAAATAAAGGCAGCGAAGGAGGTGTAAGACTGTTTTCAGTCTAGCTGGGGCTTCAGTAATGTACATTTTAGAGCTTCAGAACAAAGATATTGGACTACACATGTAACCCAAATCATTAAGAAAAAATAATTTGAATACAACCTCATCATGCTTCAAGTCAGCTGTTATCAAGATATAAATAATTTTATGAAGAATTATGTATGTTAGATAGTTTAACCTTTCTCTTACATCTCCTGACTCTGTGAAACTATAGAGAATATATTTATAAAGAGGATGTAGACACTGTCATGAATAATCTGTAAATACGACAGCAAGACCAGATGGATTTATAGTTAAATACTGAAAGTCTCTAAATGAAGTTTTAATTTCTATAAGCAGAGACTCATTTGCTAGTATCATGCAAGCAGGAGACATCTTCGCCTTTTGGAAGAAACAAGGATAGTTTTAAACTCTTAAGAGAGGTGGGATTTGACCAGCTGCTCAGGCTTTTGAGGGGCTGAGGTAAATATGAAAAGTCACTCTCCCTTCAATTAGTTCTCTAAAGGACTTCCTCTCTGGAACCTACCGAATACATATAGCTGTGCTGGGGTGAGGATAGGTGCCACCACCTTTTTTGATGCAGAGATGAAATCTCATGTAGATCTCTGCCAAAAGAATAAAGGAGTAAAAGTTTCTCCTTTCCAATATCTTCCACTTTGATTTTTTTAATCAAAAAAGTTCTCCTTTAGAGGCTTTCATTTGACTGCTTACTCCTTTCAATCAATTGATGTATTTGGATGAAAGAGAAAAGGGAGTAATTTTTGAAATATGTGCAACTTTTACAAGGACCATAACAGATACATACAAATTAAAAGTTTAACAGAGAGATTGAGGAAAACTGAGCAGGCGCAATGATATAGAAAAGGTATTATTCATCCTCTACTGAGGAAATTTACACAGAGAAATATTGTTAAATGCTCCACAGATAGTTGGTGTCTCCAGCCAGGATCCCATACATATTTCAGTGGTGACACATCACGCTAGGGAGGCTGCTGAGAAAGAAGTTATTATTTTCCCTTCCGGGACGTGCCTGCACTGAGGTGCAGGAGGGACCAGAATGACCACATTGTGGTAACAACATCATTTTAGATCCACCACTTGCTTGCTGAATGCTCCTTGCAAAGATACTCTCCCAGTACAGAAGGAAAAAACAACACCCCTCTCAGCCTTACCATTGGCTACATGGCTCTGTGTGGAAAGGATTTTTTTACCCACCATGGAAAATGTCATGGCCTTAAATGTGGGATGCTCTTTTTGATTGTGAAACAATCCCAGCAGGACTGGTAGAACAAAGGGTAGGTTCTCTAAAACATGGATGCTACTTCATAGAAGGTAACATCAGCAGCAGGTGAAACCTGACCATATGACAAAACTAATGTTTTTCAAAATTGCAAAAATGTAAACATCAAGGTTGGAAGGAGGTTGTAAACTGTAACACACAACATACATGGAGAAATTTACATAAGTATGGGTACAAACATCTGTACAGTGGCTAAATTTGCATTAAAATGTTGCTTCCATACAAAGGAAGTAAGGATGCTTTATAGAATGGCAAAATAGGGACTTCTTCCATTTGTGTTAACATAATTCTCAAAATATTCTTCTGTCTGGGAATAGAGTACCCTACCTCCAGAGGTATCTTTTTTGAAAAGATCAGGCAGTAACAATAAAACATCTTTAAATCTGAGACAGCAGGTTTTTTTAAACCTCTCCCATTCATTTCTACCCTTAATCTACTTGTCTTTCCACTAAAGAATCAGGATAGAACAAGTTCCTGTAACTCCTGATGAGCTACAGGTAAAGGAGTATATTGACAGAGACTGTTAAACCTGCTCCACAGCATTATGTATGCGGAAGAATTTAGAAAGACAATGGCAAATAACCTCGGGGCCATTTTTCTAAACTTGGGGAACCAGGTGCAAGATGGAAAGTGGACCCAAATACATACTTAGTGAGGTTGAAAGTGATTTGAAGGTGTTCTAATTTAAAAAAAAAAAAAAAAAAAAAAAAAAAAAAAAA